ATGACCACTAACGTTAAGAAATACAGCTACTCTACCAATTTTATTTTTCCTACTTGTCATCAAAAATACAAGTGTCTTCTTTGAACTAAATTTCTTCTCATAATTTTACCATTTTGGATTAAAACGCAAGAAAATACAGATAAATAATTTAGTTTTGCCTGTTGTTCTGCAAATTTTTAGTCTTTTCCAAACTTTTCATGTCTTTTCCGCCCTTGCCGCTCCAACCACAAACATGCTTCTTTATGCTTCCTTTTTTTCACTCTTAGAAGGGAAAGGCATCTAGCGATTTCAGCCGTTTGAAAAGGGTGGAGGTCAATGATGCTATTGATGCTCGTCCGGTTAATATTCTATATCTTTTTTTTTCGTATCTAATAAATGATAAGAGAATGATTAAAGCCCGTCTGCGGGTGTATTAGTGTAAACATTTTGCCGTTACTTGATCGAGTATCCAGAATTCGCCCTAAATAAACGACAAATGAGTTTTGAGGTAGTGAATGCCTTTTGTTGAAAAACCATGCAGACTCTTTCAAGGCAGTCTTTAGTAGGTGTGAAAGGCAGATTTCAAATCATTTTCTAATGCGCTTGGTCTCTTTTTTGGAACGGCTTGTATTCTTCCCTTCTAAAAAATGTTTTTATGCCTTACTACCTTTACTTTGAATCGAGCAATTCAAATAGAAGCACGTTTTTTCACTCGTACTCTTCTGATCCAAAGAATATCTAGGTTCAAACAATGCGAATAAAACGCGAAGCTGAGTTTTCGTGTTGCTCCTGTGGCATAGGCCCTCAGGGCCCTATCGGTCCAGCAGGTCCCGATGGAGAACCTGGTGCTGAAGGAAAGCCAGGACAACCAGGACTACCTGGGCCAGACGCTGAGGACCACAAAGCTGTGCCCAAACCAGAAGATTTCTGCTACGTTTGCGAGCCATCCCCTCCAGGACCACCCGGACCTCCTGGCTTAAGAGGGCCACCAGGGCCATTTGGTGAGATAGGAGAGGTAAGACATAACACTGTCATAGCAGACATCGATAACAACAGCTATTTTAGCGTGGACCAATGGGAAAAATAGGGCCACCAGGCCCAGCAGGACCAATGGGAGTGTCTGGTTCAGATGGAGATTTGGGTGAACCTGGACCGCCTGGCCCACCTGGAACAACTCAAACGCTGTCATCACCGATGGGCGAAATTGGGTTGGAAGGTCCAGAAGGGCCACCTGGCCCTCCAGGAGCTCCTGGAAGAGCTGGAAATCCAGGAATATCTGGTTTGCCTGGATTAGACGGTGATCCTGGAAATGATGGACATCCTGGTATGGATGGAGCCTTAGGCCCACCAGGGCAGTCGGGACATATCGGAATGAGAGGATCATGTGGACACTGTCCCATAGCTCGCACACCACCAGGCTATTAGGTTAATAAATTTTCTATGGAACTTTTTAAATTGGAAGATGACGTTTTCTCTCCTTTTGTGTTATGAATGTTCGAATTGGCTATAATAAATATATAAATATACTGTTTGAGATTGCAACCTCAAAACGTGAAATCAACCTAATGATCAAAGACAATGAAAAGGAACACTTACACGATTATGGTGAAAATAGAAAAGTTTGATTTTAAGCTTATAAGTTGTAAGTGAAAAATATAGTTTTCAGACTCAGTTTTACTCTACATTGATGACTACAATTGGTTCTAAGAGGTGTAGAGTGAGTATGCGCTCCTTTTACACAATTACATCCAACATGCCGACATTCTCGACGCACTCCGGATGGCTATGTTTTATTCTCCAGGCAAAACGCTTGTATGACCATTGACAAATAGCATCTAAAAGTACACATTCTTGTCCAATTCTCTCAAAGATTACGGGAAGGAGAAAACGAATACTTCAACATCAATTTTTAATAAGCTAAAACCAATTCGCGAAAATTTGTGTCTATAAAAAGAAACAAAAGTGATTAGCAGTTACAAAACAATTCTAGCGATTTGAATACCATTGCTGCATCGTTCATGAAACAATAATTGGGATCTGTAAAATTTGATTTAAAATTATAGCAGTTTTACGCTCAAGATTATCTGAAAAAAATATTCGAAGACTAAGTTTTGAAAATGTAAGTAGATTTATAAAATTCAGACCGAATTCGTGTTGGTAAAAGTATTAAAAATGATTAACAATTGAAAACGAGTTAAATGGAGGCAATATGATATCCAATTTCTCCATTAATGTGGACCAGACATGCAGATTTTATGAACAAATAGTAATCTTTGTTTTAGTTGGGAAGCTTTCCTTGCATCATTGTATTCTAATCCTCTCAATATTATCAAATCAGGGTGTTTCCAAGTCTCGTCGTTCTCTAACTTCAAAATATAAACTACATTTTAGCAGCTTATATTATAATCTTTCATCAAACCTAATTTCTCGTTAAACTTACAAAGAACAATATCAAACGAGGAAGCTACGTTTTGATTTATGACCTGAACCCAACTTCTTATAAAAAAGAGAATGGAAAAGATTTTGCTTTTGAGCCTCTCAAAAAAGAAAGCGAAAAGTCGTTTTTGCTTTTCTTTGTGTCTGGCCTTTTGCCTCTCTGCTCTCTCTCTCCTCTCATCTTCTTTCTTTTCTGTATCCTTCTTCATCCTTTTTCTGCTCTGATGATCTACCAGCATATTCTCAACGTTCTCAATATTTACGCTGTCAAACGAAAAGGACAAGTAAACAAAGATGCTAAATGATTGCCTTAATTTTGACAACCATATTCTTCTTTCAGAAACTGTAAAGAAGCAACACTTAACCACCGCTCATTTACATCTATTACTAACAAAAAAGTTGTAGTTCAAATTTATAAGTGATTGCAGTTAGATCGTCCTGTGAAAATTACTGCTCACGTTAGAGGTTGCAGTCACATTAAGTGCAAATAGACACTTGATGTATAGAATGGTCAAAACTTGGGATACTTAGAAACAATAGAAATAATGGGAAACGACGGACGGCAATTTCGGAGATACCATTACAAACCATCAAATTTGTCAAACGGGCATGCAGTAAAAACATCAATTTTAAGAAATTCTCGTAAATTTGCCTTCTTAGAGGATATTATAAAAAATTACTTTAGGTTTTTGAAACGCAACTCTTTATATAGCGCTCCTTTAGCCAATGATACCAATATTTCTTGACGTT